CAGGTGGGACAGGGACTCAGGTGGGACAGGGGTGGGGGGCTGGGGGGTCTCAGGTGGGACAGGGACTCAGGTGGGATGGAGTGCTGAGCTGGGGGACTTCAGGTGGGAGAGGGGGTCAGGCAGGACAGGGGTGCCGGGTTGGGGGTGACAGAGGGACAGGGGTGCCGGGTTGGGGGTGACAGAGGGACAGGGGTGGTGGATTGGGGGGTGACAGAGGGACAGGGGTCCTGGCCAAGGGAGGACCAGGTGGGAGCCCCCAGACCCCCTGTCCCTCCCCAGTGTGAACTTTGTGAAGTGGTCGTCGCAGGGGATGCTCCGGATGTCCCCGGAGGCCATGAACGAGCTCTTCCAGCCCACCATCACCCACATCATCCAGCACATCGGTGCGTCCCGGGGACCCCGCCCTGATCCGGGGACCCCCTCCGTCCCTGGGATCCCCCCTATCCCTGGGAGCCCCCCATCCCTGGGACCACCTCCATCCCTGGGACTCTCTCCCTATCCCTGGGAGCCCCCCATCCCTGGGACCACCCCCATCCCTGAGATGACTCCTATCCCCAGGAGCCCTCCATCCCTGGAATCCCCCCCTGTCCCTGGAACCTCCCCTGTCACTGGGAGCCCTCCTGTCCTTGGGAACCCTTCTCTATGAGCCCTCCACCCCTAGGACCACCCCCATCCCTGGGACCCCTACTATCCCTGGGAACCCCCCTTGCCCCTGTGACCCCCTTTTGTCCCTGGGACCCCCTGTCTCTGGGAGCACCCCATCCCTGGGACCTTCCCTGTCCCCATGAGCCTTCCACCCCTGGGAGCTCCTCCATCCCTGGAACCTCTCCCATCCCTGGGAACCCCCTTCTGTCCCTGGGACCCCCTTCTGTCCCTGGGACCCCCTATCTCTGGGACCCCCTCCCATCCCTGAGACCCCCTGTCTCTGGGAGCACCCCATCCCTCAGACCCTCCCCGTCCCCTGAACCTCTCCCATCCCTGGCAGCCCCCAATCCCCGGGACCCCATCACCCCTGAGCCCCCCCAGGGCGGCCCCGAAGGCCCCCAGCTCCCAAACCCTTTCCCTCCAGACTCGCTGCTGAAGAAGCCGGAGGTGGAGGGTGTCAAGTTCCTGTTCCTGGTGGGGGGCTTCGCCGAGTCGCCGGTGCTGCAGCGGGCGGTGCAGGCGGCCTTCGGCGCCCGCTGCCGCCTCATCGTCCCGCAGGACGTGGGGCTCACCATCCTCAAGGGCGCCGTGCTCTTCGGCCTCGACCCCGGCGTGGTGCGGGTGCGGCGCTCGCCCCTCACCTACGGCGTGGGCGTCCTCAACAAGTTCGTGGAGGGGAAGCACCCGCGGGAGAAGCTGCTGGTCAAGGAGGGCCGGAACTGGTGCACCGACGTCTTCGAGAAGTTCGTGTCCGTGGACCAGTCGGTGGCGCTGGGGGAGGTGGTTCAGCGCAGCTACTGCCCCGCGCGGCCCGGCCAGCGCCGCACCCTCATCAACATCTACTGCAGCGCCCGCGACGACGTGCGCTACATCACCGACCCCGGCGTGCGCCACTGCGGCACCATCAGCCTCCAGCTCGACGGCGACGGCGGCGACGGGGGGGACGGGGGGGACGCCGGCCCGGCGCGGGGCCGCAGGGAGATCCGGGCCAGCATGCAGTTCGGGGACACCGAGATCAAGGTCACCGCCGTGGACACC